CCCGGACCGGCCGCCCCGCCTGGCACCGGAGCCGGCGCCGCCCGCACCCGCCGCGCTCCCGCGGTGCTCGGTCCCGGGTGGGAGTCCCGCGCTCCCCTCCGCGGCCCCTCCGCCCTTCTCCGTGTTGTAGCCCCCCCGGGGGCCTCGCAGCGCCCCGCGGCCGCGTCTSCCCGCCCAGCCCCTGCACCACCCGCGCACCCCCGGGTGGGCTGCGGCAGCGGCGGCGCTGCCCTCCTGTCGCTGCCGCTCCGCAGCCTCCGGGGCCCTCTCGGGGTCTCCTGCCGCCCCTCGCCCGAGCACGCACCGCGGAACAGGGCACGAGGACACGGCTCCCGCCGGGCCGTGGGCATCCACGGCGCCCTCTGTGTCACACACAGCAGCAGGGCCGACCCTCCCTGCTCGCCCTTGCTCCTGAGGGAGCCTCTCCCCCTGCTCCCGCTGCTCCCCCGGCACCTCCTCTCTTGGTGACCCCTCCGAGCCACCTCTTCCCCAAGCCAGAGGCTGCAGCTCCAAATCCYTTCCTGCCCAAGCTAACACAGGTGCTTCATCCAGCGTCTGCCGGGCTTGCCGGGGAGCGCCTCAGAAGAGTCACGGGACATCTTTTGAAATGGTTACTTTGAAACTGAACTTGAACAGAAGCTTTGAATCAATCATTCGGCCAGAAGAAGTGAAGAGACGGCGGCCATGGCAGCTTTGAATCCCTGCCAGATTCATCAAAGAGTTTAAAGCCTTTGCAGGGATTCACGGTTTGCCAAGGGGGAAATAAATACTTTAAACAAGTGGATTTTTTTTAATTTGTCATTTGAAGACATCTTTTGGAATCAAATATGTCTAATTTTAAAACTTCATCGGTATTTTAAATTACACAAAACTTCAGGGTTAACAGAATCATCCCTTTTCCATTCAGTTTCACCTAGAATAATGGTGTGAAAAGCATTTCAGGTAGCCTTGAAAATTTTTCCCAGTGATTTGCGACAGTGAACCAAGAGATCATTGACTCGCGCACTTGGGAGTGTGTTTTTATTGAACTGCACAGTCTGTGAATCTGACACTCTGCGTTTTCTTACCCAACAGCTATTGATCTAAGGTCATCTCATAAATTTACTGAAACAATGGAGTTACATCAGGCGTAAATCCAGACAGAGTTTTAGGCCTGGTGTAACTCGACTGTCTTAGTGGCAGTGAAGGCTCTCTGACCATTTACACTGCAGCATCGTATTTACATGCCAAGCAAGCCAAGGACCCTTGAGTTGCTGCTGGGTTTGCTTGTATGATATGATACTGTATGATAGTATTTTCTTCTGTATCGGAGCCTTATGTGCAAAATCTTTAATATTTGCATACCATATTTCATTCATGCACAGATAAACACGTCATTTATGACTTGGAAAATCTTTGAGGATTTCTGTCTTCTTGGTTTAACAGCATTCAGCTACAGAGAACGTGAATGTGATGTACTGATAATGTACTAAACCTGAGCAGTTTACTCTGCACAGAACTCTGATTTTTGAATGGGTTTCTGTGAACATATCTGTTTTKGAATGCATTTTATCACAAATTCAAAACTAGAGTTACAGATGGGCATCACATCTTTGCTAGCCTAAGTCAGTGCCRTATTACTTCTGTCCTAACACAGTGCCGATTGGAAGGGATCTCTGAAGGTCACTAATGCACCTCCCACGCAGAGCAGACCCATTGCCAGCACAAGCTCACTTGCTCACTGAGGTGCTTGACTTGCATCAAGGCCTTGAACATATTCGAGGATGGAGACTTCATAACATCTCTGGGCAGCCATGCTCTTCCCACGCTGCAGCACCCTCCCAGTGAAGATTTTTTTTTCCAAATGYCTAACCTTGAACTTCCAAGCTGTAGTCTGTGGCTGTCGCCCTTTGCTGTATCTGAGTCYGGCACCATCACCTTCGTAGTTTACCTGCTATTAAATTATCCCTTCACCTCYTCCACACAAGACCAGCCCAAATGGGGCTCCCTTGGAGTCCAGAGAGGTTGAGAACCWATGAGGACATAGGTTGTGTGATGATCATCTTGGTAGCTTTCTACTGATCCTCTTGATGATCTTAACGTCATTCCTAAACTGGGAGGCTGGAAACGGGACACTATTCCAGGTGCAGCCTGGAATAGTGCTGAGAGCAGGGTGATAACCGCCTGCCTTGGTCTGCTGGACACACTTCTCGTGATGCTGCCCAGCGTGCGCTTTACTTCATTTTTGGGGTGAGCTCCTTGGTCATTCACATCCAGCTTTGTGTTCACCAGGACCCTTTCAGCATGGCCACTCTACTCCCAGCGGCTACCAGTGCATGGTGTGTTCTGCTGCACATGCAGAACTTGGTATTTCTCCTTGCTGAACTTCACGAGATTTTTGTTGATTATGTGAATTTCTTTGATAGCCTTGGTGTAGTGAACTTCTGAGCAAGCCATGGAGCGTTAGTGCACAGTGAGGGAGGGCTGCATGGAGCTGGCCATGGAAAGAACCGGTGTCAGTGCCACCACCAGAACGTAGGCAGTTGCAGGTCTCTGTATAGACTATGGGCTTTTCTCTCCTCCTTTTTAACATCTTGCTACTCTTATGGAGAAGAAACCCCCGTCTGACATAGTTATCCACCTGCCAGCTCCATTTTATCTCATTTTAGCTTAAGATACAGCTTATCAGTAGCACAATTAATTCAGTTGCTCTGCATTGCASCAACCCCATGGATTTGTAACCACAAGCTGTGCTGTCCATAGCCCTCCTTTCACAAACTGTACCTGAATGGAGCTCRGAACATGGGAATTAATGTGCCACTTGCCTTTACAAAATTCCTTTTTTTATATATATATAAAGGGTTTTGTCAAGCAGTTTTGTGCACTGTTGAGTCCCACAGAGGTGAGTGGGGAGCATAGCACAGTGAAAGGGGAGCGATGGCACTGCAGATGTGCTGGGGATGCTCCAGATCCTGTCTTCCTGGCCTGAGGACCAGGCAGAATCCTTGGTGTTGCGCACACCAAGCCAGGGGCTGTCATCATCATGGGGACTGCCGCAAACTCCACTGCTGCTGATGGACAGGGAGAGGAAAAGGGGAAAGGAAAAGAAAAAAATCGTCCTTATTAATGAGGCTTCTGCAAAATATATATATATATATATATTGCTAATTTGAATGTTAAATATTTGCAGTTTCCAACAGCATTTTTTTATTTTTGCCCAGAGCTGCCCATCTGTCTTCCTCATTTCTGAATCATTCTGTTTTATCACACTTGAGAAGCAACATTCAAGCCCAGAAGATTCTTTGAAGTTATTTCAGAGCTGTCTCAAACCCACAGAAGTTGCGGGATGATGTGGCTGTACTTTCAGTTGCAGCTATCAAGCTGGACAGCTTACAAGCGAGGAAAGTCCTGTGGAGTTTTTTATCCTGGAGCAATGTGACCTGCCTAGAAAAGTGGCAGGAGGCTCTCAGGTACCAAGATGACACTGAGAATTGCTTTGAAATCCCTTCATCAGCAGCCCCTGTTGTTTTAACAGAAATGTTTGCCAAGAAAAGCACTAAATCCTGCGTGGAATAGAGTGATATAATTTCTATTCTGTATAAATCACACGCTCTATTTTAGTATGATGTTGAAACGCTTATGATTTGATTACATAATGTTTCATATTTGGGATTACGACCTTGCTGCTTGACAGTTTAACATTCTGAAATATGACCGGAGATAAAAGATTCAGTTGCTGATTGGGGGCTCCTTGGATGGGCAGCTCTGAAGGGGCCGCCCCACACRACTGCTTGCGGAGCAAACGCGGTGCCGAAACGCGGCGGCGCTTCCGTTTGCTCCTGCAAGTGGAGCTGGATTAAATCCACGCAAAGCTGCTSTTTCCAGGTCAAGGCACAGGCACGAACAGATGTGCTGGGCACACTGTGAATTAAGGATACTGTCCCCAAATGCTCTTCTACCTCCTGCTGCAGGAGACATTCACTGGGATGGCTGCGTTATGTAAATACAGACACCACAGGCTTATTCATGGTAAGTTTTTATTAAATTGGGTTAAATACAAACTCTTGGCTTACGAGATATTTAATAAATGGTCTCAGTCTAARGAATGCCAAGACATCTCTACAATTATATTACAATCTTCTGCTGCAATTAGAAACATTTTACAACACAGAAGCCCATAAAAAATGCCAGGTTTCACAGTAGGAAATATTTGTCCTCAAGCGACTCATTTAGTGACTTCTGGATCATAAAATCTCCATCACTGAATAATGTTTGGCTACTACATCTGAAGAAAGGCACTACAAGGATATGAATAAAAGAACAAAGAAAGAGGGAATAACTCTCCATCTAAGCAGAACTTCCTTCAAAATCCTAGAAATACAGATCTGCATTTCAAAGGCAGCTAGTGATTTGGCATGTTTGAGACATCAGAYGGGCCCAGGTATTCACAGGACGAGTTCAGTAAACTGTAAAAATCAAGATTCTCTACAAGGACGGCTGAGACACCTACAGAGTGAAGCCTCCAGAGCCACTAGTGACTTAAAATGTAGCCTSTGGGATTGCTTTTAGGAAAGGGTGATAAAAGGAAGAAGCAAAAATAAATGCACTAATTTCACTAAATTCAGCAGCATGGACATACTTTTTTTTTTCTTTTTCCCTCTTCTCCTTATTTCTTCATCATTTTCTCTCACTTCACTGAGTTTTTATCTTCGCTTTGCTGAATTGTGCCTTTCTCTCTGGTTCTCCTATCTCCTGTTCCCTTGGGAAATTCTTACCCTTTGTGCCTCCTCTCTCATTCCCCTTATTGGTGCTTCTTCCTTTTGACTTGGGTGGTTTTCCTCCTTGCCCTAAAGTTGGCAGGTTCATCTCCTTTTAGAAACTTCTTTTTGGTTCTATTTCCATAGCCTGGACCTAGTCCATCTCTCACTTTTAGTAATTACTRCTTCATTTTTTGACCAGTTCTTTCACGGGACATGAAGCGTGGATGGAAATGGACTGCTGGATAGAGCAGGTCAAGCCAGATTGCTTCTTTTTCTCCTCTCCTGCATCTCCTGTCATCCCTTCTCTCATTACCAGCCTTTTGTGCCGCAGAGAAGTCTGCATAGCAACTGAGGAGACACATCACTTGTCTCTAGCAGCAGTCCCTAGAAACAAAGGTACAGCTGGTTCCCCAAAGGAAAACTGACAGATAGTAATTGCAGCACCAAAACCATCTTGAATAAAGCRTCTGATTTTGAAGCTGTGCTTCTTTTGTGGAACTTTGCAGGAAATGAAGGCAATCAGGATCTTTGAAAACTGTGTGCTTTTACTAGAAGCCTTATGAATATGAGTTTTTAAACTATATTGGCATTCTTTGACTAAATTAACCAAGATTATTTGGCTTAAGTACCTACCACAGGTGACTGAAGTTAGTAGCTGACAGATTAGGTGTGCCTTATAGCCAAAATATTTACACATGTAAAGGCAGCCATGGCAGAAAGCTACACTGGATTAACCACTACTTATACCAGTAATAACTTAATTCATGCTGGTTTTGTAATTACACTCATATAACTTCCATAGCCAGACAATGCTGTGGTACAAGATGAATAATGTGATATATTAGTATTATGAAACTTAAAGCAAACAGATCTGGTTGTTGATTCCTTGCATATTTACCCCTCCTAGTCACAATGCTGATAGGTGGCCATATAGATACCTTTATTATTTTATTAGTTACCTGATATAGTATAAACATTTTACACTTTTTAAATTAGTAGGTTTCTTTTTTTTCCATAAAAAATGACTGCTGTAGGTGTGATAATCACAGGTGCTTCTGCTCTGCCCAGTGTTCTTCAAAAATGAAGATGCTGCTTTTCATGAAGCCTATCCTAAGGAAAAAAAGTACATACACAATACAGGTTAGGACATAGTTTATGCTGAATTATTATTTTTTTTTTTTAAAGGATTTTGTCTCAGAATTATGTCTCACTTTAAGGTGGCTAGGTAAGGTAGCACAATGTATCTAAACCCACTGTAGGATATTTTTTAGAGTACCAGATGCTAACTTTGAAGTGAAAAAAAAAAAAAAAAAARGAAATTAGATATACCCAGGATGTCATATTTGTATGCTACTCAGTTATTTACAGCCAAAGGGGGCTAGTTCTTAAGGTGTTACCATCTCCATGGCTCACAGATCAAGATGACAGGAAAAGAAAAGCTGCCAAAAGTGAAATCATGCAGCCAGTCCTATTTTAACATCACTGGTCCTCAGAAATGTGAGAGAGCACTTTAGTGCTTTAGAGCTTTAGTGAGAGCCTCACGTATTTAACTGCAAAATGTTAYGAATTTCTGTTTTGCAAGCTCATAGTATGAATAACTTTCTTCTTATAAAGCTTATGAACTCTATATTTCTTTTGGGTTGGAAGTTCTCTCCTTATCTCCTTGACGGTTAATATATTTCCAAAAAGGAGAGAGAGAGTGGGTACATTGGGAAAGACTATGCAAGGACACATCAGCCCGCAAGGAACCTGGCTGCTCTGCAAAGGCAACACCCAGTGAGCAGCCACTAAGGGCAGGTAAATGCTGAGATGCCCCAAATCACCCCCAGACTCACGGCTTTTCAGGAGATGGGCTGCTTTGAACTGGTTAATGCAGCATATTAAATAACACAAAYGCAAGGTTCATTATCCTTGCCTAAAAGTCACTGCTCACTAGCAGGAAACAAGTGGTTATTCTGGCTGTTTTAGCAAAGTCTCAAGGCTTGACATAAGGTGACTGAATATCACGGTTCTAAATACGTTTCTTAAGCAAAAATTTGAAGTCTGTTGTCTTCTTGCTAAAGGTTATGGCCTTTGAGAAAATAGATTTTCAGGCAAAATGTCTATAAAGGAATATCATCCTGCTATTTTAAAATGAYGTGTTGTAGTGAAAACTTTTGATTATTGACTCTTACTTTTCATTCCTTCATGCCTTGAGTAGAGTTTAGGTTGTAAAAGTAAACTGTTTCTGTTCTGTGCTGCTGGTTTCAGGCCTCCCATGGAAAAATTCTTTTTCACACTCCAAATTCCTTCCAGAGCCACTGTTAATTTGTTAAAATAACAACATTATAACTGACTACTCCAGCTTCAGTCCAAAATTAATGCAGCTGTTTAAGAACAACCACTTTGATCAATGCAATAATTGGAAATGTTTAAGGACAGCACCAAAATCATCCTCCATACTCAATGAATGGGACCTTCAGAGAGCAATTCTGATGGCTAAAGGTAAATGTCTCTCTGTACATCTGCCTTTTATCAGAGCCCAGGCCAATTGAGGAACATCTCTAATTCTCCACAGGGATAAAGGAAATGAAAAAGAAACTAGCTAAATAGGCACATCATCGTCTAATTGACTTTATTATATATAGCAATAAGTGTTGTAGAGAATAAACCCTATAAAGAATATTGTTGTAGTGGTTCTATTTTACCTGAACTATTTTAACCACATACATGTGCTCTGTCACATATATTTCATTAAGGGACCCAGAAATCATTAGAAGATTTTATGGTGTGATCCATACACCATGATGATGTATGAATGGCTGGCAGATGGATACAGTGAGACAGGGATGTGTTAAGCTCTTAGTTATATTAGAAAATTAATAATAGTGTCACCCAACCAAAGTTATCTTGGGCAATTGTGCTAGTTGTCCAGATCCCCTTTACAGTCACTAGAAAAAGAACAGGCACATTTACAGTATGAATTATGCAAGGACAGATGTCTAGGTCAAGTTAGAATAGCTTTCTAAAGTGCCTTTTTTTCTCTCAAATTACTATAAACAGAGCTAACATAGCCTACATAGGCAGTTCAAGGTGTGTGCTGTATTGCCTAAAGRAGAGATGATAGTGGGCCTGCTCCAACAAAGTGCACCTTAAAATAAGCAGTAAGAAGCTTTACTCTAAGGAAATGGCATATTGTGGAGCAACAGTTATCAAGAATATGAGAGTAACAGTCAACATCTATTTCAAGACAGTAGTGCTAATGAAATTCCTGAATGCCAGCAGAAACATTAATCTASTAGATGATTCCTTATCTGTACAGACAACATTTCATCTGAAATGCTCAGATTTGTTATTTACATTYTGAAAGAGCGGGCCAAACAACTGGCGAGTGTAAATAAGAGGCCAAATTAAGTGCTAAACAAAATATTTACACTGAGARGTAAGAATTTAAACTGTTTAACCTAACACTGGTTATTACTGTTCTTCATTACAATGTACAAGTTAATTCTTCTGAAAGAAAATCCTTAGTATTACGAAAAGCACTACAGCACAAGTAAGGAAAGAAATAAGTTTAAACACATACATCAAAATCAGAAGCCAAGTATGAATTTTTGACACAACAACCATTACAACAAACTAACAAAGGAAATTGAGGAATAACCAGCTTTATGCCATCCACTGCACACACAGTACCTGGTGTGGCTGGTAAGTGCAATGAGACCACGTAATCAACTACATAAGCTATCTTATCCTTAAACATGGTAAAATTCTTATTAAAAAAAAAAAAGCTGTTTCAAGATTAAGTATATTTAAATTATAGATAGATATTTCTACTTCACTTTTTAATTCCAGTCTTTGGAGCTTGTAGTATTTTATCTCTTGACCAAATATTCCCTGTCCTCTTCCACAACTTGCATTTYCTAAAGTTGCCTAAACAAGGCTGATTTCCTAGCAACTTTCACTGTTTCCTGTCCTTTCTTACCATTCTTACCTCAACAGTTTCTTTTCAATAGCAACTTCACTTTTGAACAGAACCAAATGTAGTATTTTCATAACTACAGCACTTCCTTCAAATAAAATGGTGACATAATCTCTCATGATTTGATACTAGTTTCCATTTTATTTAAAGGATATGGAATTTTGTGTTCACTTTGCTCCTAAAAGTTCACTATACACAGCTTTTTTCAGTTTTAAGTGTTTTCTAAGTGTTTCAGGTGATATTACACAAATGTTCAGGGTCTGAAGTCTAAGTAATATTTTCATCACAATTCTTAAAAAAAAAAAAAAAAAAAAAAAAGATTTCATTACTTCATTACCCCTGTCAAGCACTTGGTGACGGTGCCAGTTACCTGCAGCTGGATGTTTAATGTGGCATTCCTCTTTCCGAAAACAAAGCTCTTCTTCAAGTATTTCTTTAACTCTCCTAGACGGTTCTACATAGACAAACGTCTTCCCTGTTAGYGAAACACATTACAAAAGAAGCAGTTATTTCAGAACCCAAGTGCTTTGTGGAGTGCAGTTTCAGTCACCCTGCTCTACTTGTAAGCATCTTTACCACGCGTATTTTACGGATATTTTTAGAGGCGTTCGGGAGGGCCCGGCTGCCCCAAAGCAAGCGGTTCACAAGCGGGCTCCAAGAAGGGCCTCTGTGGGTCTGAGCGCGCGGGTGAAGGCGGCAGAGCAGGGCAGGGCAGGGCAGGGCGGCCTCCTCAGGGCGGGCAGCGGGCGGGGAAGGGCGCGGTGGCTGCAGGCGGGACAAGGCGCCTGCCTCCCCCAAGGCCGGGAACGGCGGCGCTGCGGCCGCGCGGGCAGCGGGGCAGGGAGCGGGGACGCCGGAGGCGCTAGCGGGGCCCGTTCCCCCCGCAGCAACGGGCGGCTCACAGGGCTGCCCGCCTCCCGCCGCCGCCTCGCCGGGCCCGCCGCCCGCCTCCTCGGCCGCCACAGCCGGCGGCTCCCTGCTCGCCGCCCGCATGGCCGACGCCGCCGCACCCGCCAGCGGAGCCGCCGCGCGGCCGGTTGCCACAGGAGCGCGGCGAGGGCGGGGCAGCACAGTCCGGCCCCGGGGCTGTCCCGGGCGTACGGGGCGACTCAACCCTACCGCCCTCAGCCCGCCCCCGCCATCTTAGGACCGCCCTCAGCCCGCCCCCGCCATCTTAGGACCGCCCCCCGCCATCTTAGAGCCGCCTTCATCCTGACCCTGCCATCTTGGGGCCGCCTTCAGCCCGCCCCCTGCATCTCGGGGTCATCCTCAACCCGCCCCCGCCATCTCGGGACCGCCCTCAGCCCGCCCCCGCCATCTTAGGACCTCCCTCAGCCCGCCCTCGGCCATCTTAGGACCGCCCCCCCAACTTAGAGCCGCCCTCAGCCCGCCCCCGCCATCTTAGGGCCGCCCTCAGCCCGCCCCCGCCATCTTGGGGACGTCCCCCACCCGCCTCCGGCCTCCTGGGGCCGCCCCCTGCCATCTTGGGGCCGCCTTCAGCCCGCCCCCTGCCCGCCCCCCGCCATCCCGAGGCCGCCCTCAGCCC